GGGGGATTTTTGGCTTACATATTTATCAGTTCGACGAGTGCATGTGAAGCGTAACTTTGTTTAGTTACCAAAATTAGAAGTAAGTTGGCATAAGAGTGAAGGCCGAAGACTGGTAACTCGGAAGAAATAGTGAATAGAGGTTATGTATCCCGTCGTCCTCTTTCGTCCAAATTTGTTCCATAGCTTTCTCCCCGCCTGCGTGTGTATGTGATTATTGATTGTTAACTCGACTCATTAACACGCGAGCCGTCACGTTGCATTATATGCGAACTAGAAGATGATATAATCTGGTCCCCTTTAATGGGTATAATTTTTGGATCTATTTTCATGAATGTTTTTTGAGCATCTGGAGTTACACAAAGTGATTTTTGTTCTAAAGCATTTCTCATATTTGACTCTTTAATTTCAGGCAAAGCTCCCTGCTGTGTTGAGAATATACCGTGACACTCTTACAGCTGATATGAAAACTGCCATTAAGACATCAGTTGAAGAGCTGCTTCGTGTTCTGTGTGCCCAACCTTTGGATTCAGATTTTGTTGCAGGCGAGCGAGTGGTTGATACAGATGGTAAGTTAACAATTTAATGTATCACGGCTGCTTGACTTTGATGAGAAGAGCTTTGGTAGAAAAGTAAATTGTCAATAGGCAAAAGGGTTTATTTTCCTTTTCTTTTAATTTGAAACCAAAGGGTGCTCTCAGAGGTGGGAAGGGCTGATTCATTTTGGTCTACACAGGGAGGGGGAAGGGAGGTTGATACCTGGTTTCTGATTTCATGTATCTGCTGACTTAGGTGGAAGCTCGTCTCTTGCCAGTAGATTAAGAAGCCTGCCACCAGAAAGTTTTGTTCAACTTTTGAAGGCTATTTTCATGATAGTGCAGGTAATGTGTACTTGGTCATACTGTGAAACAAACCTTGCAATCAAACAAATAAAGTTCATTATCATGCAATATCATGCAATATCTGTTCCCACAAGGATTCTATTGCAATGTTAATGCCACTGCTAAGATCCCATGATCTTTTAAATCAATGCTTGTGTTATTAATTAATTCTACGTGATGATAACTGATAAGTACCTGAGATCCTTCATCAGGTTCAGTTGGACTCTTTAATTGTTAATTGATTTGGGGCCGATGGCTGCGTACACTGATTAGACCTAGATAAGTTGATTTCTCCATGAGAAATCAGTTTTCTGTTTTATAGCTCCGCTGCATGCCTTATTGCGTCTAGGCTTTTTTATGATGTTTTAATGTTTGTTGCAATTTCATTTGTTTAAAAATAGTTCTTTTAAAGCTTCCTTTCTTGGGGCACAAAATTGATCCCATTTAAGGTGTGTAGTTATCTTGAATTCTGGAAATGAAACAAAAATCTTTTACACCAATGGGAACAACTAATGCCATTTATAGTAAAGTGGAGAAGGGTAGAGGGCGGGCCCATTATTGCTGAATTTCGAACGGCCGTGTGCCAGTGGTGCTCGGGGATTTCTTGGTTATAAAAAAAATATATTATAGGTAGAAGTCATTTTTGACTATGACTCACTTCATCAGCAATCCATCTGACTGTTGAATACTCGTTTTGTCATCCACCAATGGTCCACTACCACCTCACACCTCACCTGGCACTACCTCTTCACTGCGGCCATAGCTGCCACCATTTACTAGAGTTTGAAGTAAACTAAAGACCTAATTGATTAAGATGGTTGTTCGCGTAAAGCATTTCATTTCAAAGAATTTTCTCTTAAAAATGTTATACGCTCGACCTAAGGACCCTAACTTTGCAGTGGACTTTGTTGTTGGTGTTTAAGTTGGTAATTTTACCCTTTGAATTAGTCTGGGTAATTGCTTCTTGCAGAAATCCTTGCCGTGTTCTTTTTTCAAATTTAATTTTGGTATGATGTAACTTGATATTTTTCTTTTAGTGAATGCAGGCCCACTTAGCCCAGGCTTCTGAAGTTAAGAAAACAATTGAGTGGATTATCTGCCATCTTGATGATCATTATGCTGCTGACTCAGTTGCTGCTGCAATTGCACTTGGGGCAGCAGCTGCAGAAACTGCTAGTGAAGCTGATGGTCAGATCACCACCTTTTCACAGTTTTCTCCCTCAAGCAACTTTTCCAGGGGTTTTTCAATCCACGAGAAGGGCAATGATGTGACAACTATGTCACATTTATCGAGAAATTTCAGGTTTACAAACATTAATTTGCTGTTATTCTTAGACGTTTGTTCTGTTATGTTGTCTTTATTATCAAAACTTTTATTGAGGGAAAATTAATTTCTCGTCATTATTTATTTGTTGAAAATATTTCCATCAAACTGCGGGATGCATGTTTATTTGTTTGATAGATAATTGCTCATCTGGTCATTCTTCCATTGAAAGTTTTCGAAATTGGTTCTCATAATATCCAAGTAGCACATTAACTCTCATTTAATATTATGTGCTTTTTGGTCTCTCTACCAATTTTTTTTTTTTTTTTTTTTTTTTTTTTTAAAAA